GAGGGGCTGGGGTTGTGGCTCCGAGGTAGAGCTCACCTAGCACACGTGAGGCACTGGGTTCTGTCCTCATCATCACATGAAAATAAAAAAATATATATATGGTTTGTGCCCACCTACAAGGAAAAAATAAAGTTTTTAAAAAAAAATTTATGGGAAAACTCAAGATCTTGTCATATCTGTAAAGTGAACATAGATACTATGAAAAAGGAACAGCGAGGCTTCAGAGGACACAAAATAGCCTTTAGAAAGTGTGGTTACTGGGGATCCCTTTGCCACTCTGGACAGAACTGGAAGCACTTCTGTGGGCGCAGTGTGCAGCATCGCCAGTAGAGGGGGCTAGAGGGCCGCTGTGGCAGGGAGGTGCCAGCTTCTGCTGAGGCCTGTCGGCCAAGCCTGTGATTAGGGACATCTGGTGGCACTCTGCCTTCATGATTTTCCCAGAGTGCCTTGGTGGACTCAGGCTGGTGACCGCATCGGTGTGGCCCTCCCAGTACAAATAGCTGCTGGCTCTAGATCTCCTGCCAGCCAAGGCATCCTGGTCCCCTCCGTGCACACCCTGCCACCTTGGGTCTTCTGCCCGTTTTCCAAGGCCCTTCTGACCTGGTCACTGCCGCAGGCTTTACACCCACAGTGTCACCCCAACATTCTCTGTGCACTTGACTTGAATAATATGAGATTTCAGATCAAAGGACCAACCAAGAGCAAGCAGGAGGAATGAATTACCCACACCCAGGCGTAAAGGTGAACATCCACACCCCTCCATTTGGAGCTGTTACGATGCAAATGCAGCTATGAATTTTCTTGGATAAGTCTTGGGTGAACAGATGTTTTTATTTCTCATGAGTAAATACCTGGGGTAGGAGGATCACTGTGCTTGGCACACAGTCAGAATGTCTGAGGGGTAGTCCAAAGCTGGGCACCTCTGATCCCACCCAGCCACCTTGTTTTATGGGGGGAGCAAACCACAGAACTGAGGCTACAGCTGGAGTGCAGGGAGCCCGGGCGTCAGCTCTTAGCACTCTCCACTGGACCATACCACCTTCGTCTTAGTTCAGAACCTATGTGTACACAGCCAAATTGCAACTGAATTTCAAGGCAAAATAAAAACATTTTCTGGTGTAAAATGTCCAGAACTTTTCTTCGTGTATCATCTCTTAGAGAGCTGTTTGAAGATCTGATGCAGCTAAATGAGGTGGCAAAAAGCAAAGGGAGGAATCCATGGAACCTAAAAAACAGTGACTGTACCACAGGAGAACAGGAAGAAAGAGTCCCGCAATGACAGCTTGCTGCAGGACAGATGAATCAGATCAGAGCAGGGACAGGGAAGGCTCCAGGGAAGTGTCTCCAGGACTAAAAGGGACATTTGCTGTGCTATTCATGGTTAGCAGAGTGGAACAGTCTGAGGATGTGGAGGAGGCACACTATTCTTTTCTCAACAACAACAACCTAAAAAGAAAAAAAAAAAAGGCAGTTGGAAACTCCAGGAAAAACAAAAAGCTGACAAGAAATTTATAAGTCCAAATGTGAACATGAAGATTTTACCTGATTTTGAGCAATTGCTGGGTATACAAAAAGAGAATCCATTTCACCTGGAAGGTAAGACAATTTGACAATTTAAAAATGGCTTAGGAATTGAGTATTTGGATTCAAAGAGAAGTACCTTAGTCCAGTAAATATTATCCTTTTTGTTTCTTTAGTTGGTTGGTTGGCTTTAATTAGAGCTTTATGTTATACACAGTAGTTGGGTTTATTCTGACAACCTCATACATGCATGGAAATCAATTTCAGTTCATGATCCTCCCCAATGTCTTTTTTTTTAAAGTTCCTAAATGGAACCTAAAAGTAGGAAGACCCTCCCCCCTCTTCTAGTAGACCCTTACCAGAGAACAAGTCAGACTACCTAGGGGGTTAGACAGGGCCTCTTCTTTATCTCCTGATCCCAAGGAGGAGAAAAACAGGGAGGGTCACTAACCCAGGGAGGGAGGAGGAGAGGGAATGAGAGGCACCCAGGGAGTCCCTCTGTGCTTAGAGGCGGGACAGCAGGTCTATTGCTGGATTCCAGCAGGTGTCCCAGCTGCAGCTCAGACCCAGGCCTGTCTGACCACGCCAGGCTGCCCTGGGAGAGATGGGGCTCTCCCTGCTCTCCTAGCACTGACTGGGTGTAGACACAGTGCCTGGGTTTGGGCCCCGGAACTCCCTGTCCTCTCAAAGTCGATCTCACTGAAGTCCATTGACATTTCAAATGCTGACTTACTAATACAGAGGCTCTCCTAACAAAGGACATCCACTTCCCCATACCCCAAGGCCACCAGACTTCAGCTGGTTCAGGTACCAGTAATCCAGGAAATAGGTGGAAGAGATGCAGCATCTGTCTGGGGAGACCTCCCTAAAGAGGAGAATCCCTGAGGACCTGAGCAGCCGAAGGAGACTAACCAGGGTCCCACTGTCTCTTCTGGGTGTTTCAGGAAAAATTTGAGATGCACTGTGAGATCTTTCTGGAAAGGAGGAGTGTGTGTTGAGGGGGTTCTTTGTACCACATCAAAGAAGTGCAGCCACCAGGGCTGTGGGTTAGAGAGGTGTCGTAATGAGTCACAGCCTGTTTCAAATGTGGGCCAAATTTTTTCTGCTCCAGAAAAGCAGTTAATGGTAAGCTTATAAGAAAGTGCCCAGGCCACAGGCAGGGGGTGGTGTGGTCCAATGGAGACAGCCCTGGGCTGGCCCTCGCCCCTCCCTGCATTCTGGCTCTGTCTTGAGCTCTGTGGTCCTCTACATCTGTACAGCATGGTCACTGGGTCAGATCAGAGGTGACCAGCTCGGAACACTTTGTCCAACAGGACAACCCAGCCACCCTTCCTGGGTAGGAGAGAAAGGAAGTGATACGCTGCTTTATCTGTACGAGCTTCAAACTGGCGATAAGCCCAAGGCCAGTCAATTCACGAGCAGACATATGACAGTGTCCCACCACCATGGCAGCTTGCTACGGGCAATAAAAGGGTCCTGACGCAGGGTGCTTGCAACCCGAGTGAATTTCAGAAACGTTATTCCGTGTGAAAGAAGGCAGGCACCAAAGAGCACGCGCTGAATGCGTCTGTCTGTACCAGATTCTGGAGCAGGCGACTCCCCCGTGGGGATGTGAAGCAGGTCAATGGCAGGCTGTGCCTACAGGCTGGGAGCACTGGGGGAGGGGGAGAGCCGCCAGGGAACTTTGTGGGGCTGTGGAAGTGGTTTCTGTTTCTTTTCTTTTTTAAAAATATTTTTTTCGTTGTTAATGGACCTTTATTTTTTCATTTATTTATATTCGGTGCTGAGAATCAAACCCAGTGCCTCACACATGTGGGGCAAGTGCTCTACCACGGAGCCCCAACCCCAGCCCATGGTTTCTGTTTTGATTGGAGTTATAATTACGTCTGTCAGAATTCATTAAGCTGTTCATGGAGGGGACTTTTTCATGTACATGAATTATGCCTGGGAGCTGGGGCTGTAGCTCAGTGGGTGAGCACCGATTAGCACTGGTCTAGCATGCGCAGGTCCTGGGTTTGATCCCCAGCACTTAAAAAAAAAAAAATTATGCCACAATAAAGTTGATTCAAAAAGAAAAAAAATCCCTTAAAGAATCAAGACTACATTTAAAAATCAGGGGATTTCAGTTTATAACTGGAATCCCACGGCCACAGTCAGCCCTCCGTTCCATCTGCCCGACCCAGTGGTGGGGAAGGGAAGGAAAGGGGCTTGAATGGCCACACCAGGAGGACAGATATGGAGACACAGTGACCAGAGCAGCTGACGGAAACCTGGAGGTCTTATAGCGCAGGGGAATGCTGGCGAAGGAGGCCATCCTGCATCATGGCTTGAGGGGATGATTCAGTCCCCATCGTGCCTGCGGGCTGCCTGGGCTCCATCCTGGGACACCGCCCCTGCTTGGAGGGCAGCTCATCACGGGGGATCTGTGCTGCCAACCTGGCCCTCCTTGCCATCAAGATGCCCGTCAATCAGAGCTGTTGTTCCCGGAATCCAGGGTCACTGCACAAGAAAGCAGCTCAGGAAAAAAAGTTTGAGAGGCAAACAGAATCAGGGAGGGACAGACAGGATAGGGAAGGTCAGCGACGGGCCCTCCTTCACGGTTTCTCTGAAGTAACATCAGGAGGCCCAGAGCCCAGGGCCCCCTCCTGGGTGACCTCTGAAACACAGACCTGCTCATCTCAGAAGTGACTACCTGGGCTGGGGATGTGGCTCAAGCGGTAGCGTGCTCCCCTGGCATGCGTGCGGCCCGGGTTCGATCCTCAGCACCACATACAAACAACGATGTGTCTGCCGAGAACTAAAAAATAAATATTAAAAATTCTCTCTCCTCTATCACTCTCTCTTT